CTTCTCTTCCTGCCTGGGGGTCACACCAACGAACACTAACTATAACTAATCACATCCTCTAGCTCAAAGCGACTCTGTTCTCAGCAGAGAGAAAGGGGCCAAGCTCGACCTACCATCCCTGGAGGGTCCCTCACCTCACTGTCTCCTTCTGTTGTGTCTCTCTATGCCCTGTGTGCCCACCTGCACGTCGTCACCAAGGGGTCCCGAGAACCCCAAACCGACTCAATGAAAACCTTGTAAACAAGAGTTGAGATTAATAAAGATACTCATGAAAACACAGACAAAATAAACACATCAAAACTGATTGTTTCAGGGGAGTGGAGAAGAGCAGGAGGGTGTCGATGTGAAGGTACAGAATTCTGCTTCTACAGCGTAAAGCACGGGTTTGTTCTTCCAGGTTCAATCCTTTCACAGATCCTGGGAGGAACCTGGGCATGTCACCTTTTCATCCTGGGTCTTCTGGTGATTGGCCTCATAGACCAGGGCAAACAGGCAGACAAGAGCGCAAATTCCTAATACTTTGGGCCTTTCCCATATGGACCGCACCAACCTTTGTCGATAAATGTCGGATCAGCGAGTCCTCTCACAGGTGTGCTGCGCAAAAGCACACCTGAATCTCTCGGGGTGTGCCCCCAGCGACCTAAAACAGGTTGTGGCTTCCGAGGACCACCGTAGCCCCTTTCCCACGGGGACCTTCGTGTTCAAAAAAATACAAGAGGAGGAAAAACTAAGATTCCTTCAGTAACAGTTTATTGTCATCTCGGAAAAGTCAACACCTGGCACGTGGCGTTTCTGGAGTAACTTTCCTATTTCTGTTCACAATCCAAAGGTCGTTCGGAGTTTTGTTTGGATCGAAGTGGCCTAGAGGAAAGACTTGTACCTCCTTCCATAGGGAATGTATAACACAGTAACAATCTATCACAAAACTGAAGCCCCCCACCCCCATCATGGGGAGCTCCCCTTATTTGCCTAACGTCTTCTCTGGAACCCCACCATTCCTCCCCTTAAAGTCTCAACAGACACGATAGAAATTTCCATTCAACAAGCACTGACATATTTATATTAAAAAATAGTGCAAAATCTCAACATTTATATAAATAACTCTAAACCCCTGCTTTGTAATTTTTTTTTTTTTTTTTGTACAAGGTAATACATACTTTCTGAGTTGGCACTCAAAAAATCTGCCATTTCTTTTCCTCTGCTAGTTCAGAATTTTTTTTTTTAATAGGCCTCTTCTAATACAAAAATACTCCCATCCTTGCACATACAGTCTCTCTTATTTTATATATATTTATATATATGATATTGCAGATCTTTAAACAAAGGTTTGTGCAAATATGTCTTTAAAGTGAAGTGAAATAATCATAAAGGAACAAAAAGGAAGTAAGCATCCACGCACGTAGGTCAACTAGGAACAGAAACAGACTAGGGTAGGAATTTTTTTTCCCTTTTTTTTTTTTTTTTTTTTTTTTTTTTTTCCTTTTTTTTTTTTTTTCTTTTTTCTTTTTTTTTACCTTCAAGACATTGCTCAAAGAAATGTGTTTTTGTTTTGTTTTGTTTTTTGTTTTGCAAGCTTTCTAGCTTGTGCATTCAGACCAAACAAAACATGTAAATATTTATACACAGAGAGGTGGAGGAATGACAGGCATGAAGCCTGGTTTCTGTGTTAACCCTGCCCTCCTCTCTTTCTTCTCTTCTAAGAAGTGCAGAGTGTTATGTTAGCTACGGCTGCCCCGGGCCTGGCCTCGTGGCGGGATCCCTAAAGAGGATGCCCTTTTTGTTTATCCTTCTCCTTGCTCCAGACGGTTGGGCTCTCCAGGTGCGAGATGTGTGCAGGGTGGAGCTGGGTGCCCTCCAGCAGGGAGGGTGGCCCACTGCCTTGTTGGTGCTGGAAGGAGGCAGACCCGGGGTAGTGCCCGATGACCTCACTGTAGGTGGGGGGCGGCCCCTCCATCCGCCCGCCGCTGCCGTAGCATGTGGCACTGATGCCCGAGTTACTGCTGGGGGGGCAGGGGCCTCCCAGCAGGCTGCTGTCCATAAGGTCACTGTCAAAGATGGTTCTGTTTGGGGGCGCACGCACCGACTCGCGGTTCAGCTCCAGCTGTTGCTCGGGGTCCCGCAGCTGTAGGGTGCAGGGGCCCTGATAGGGCGGGGGCTCCTCGCCGTCCGAGAGTGAGATGGTGGGTGGCAGATCGATTTCATGCTGCAGGTATGGGTAGGTGGGCTGGAAGCGGTGGAAACGGTCTCGCTGGGTGAAGGGGGGTACGGTCAGGCGGTCGGAGGGCCGTGGTGGGGCGTAGATCTGCGGCTGGAGGGCAGAGTGAAGGGAGTGAGGTCCTGCTTCTGAATGGGGTCCCTGGAGGCAGAGCCTGAGGCCAGAGTTTGGCTCTGCTCCCAAGAGAAGGGAAGAGGGGGAAGTGGGGTGGGGCAGTGGAGGGTGTAAAGTAATTGGGGGGGGGTACCTAAATTCAGAGCATGAAGCAAGGGTTTGGCTGTTCTCTGGAAAAAGGGAGAGAGGGAAGGAAGCTGGCGGGGCTGTGGAGGAAGTGGTGTGCTACCTCAACTGGGGTTCCGCTCCCAGGAGAAGAGGAGAGGAGAAAGGAAACCGGGTGAGGCAGTGGAGGAAATGAGGTACAACCACCAACTGATGTCCCTGGAGGCAGAGCCTGAGGCAAGAATTCGGCTCTGCCCCTGCGGGAAAGGGAGGCAGGAAGAAAGAGGGTGTGATTCAAGGGAGCTGAGCAAGGACTGGTTTCAGCTAGAGTGGAAACCCTCGCCAGACTCGGGAAGCTCTGATGCACGAAGAGCAGCACAGTATGGAGCTGCACCCCTCCGTGATACTGTGGGCCTGCTCTCCAAGGGCAGTAAGGACATTCCCACCAGCCAAGGGCAACTGTGCTGAGGAGGGTGGAGGGGGAAGCCGCTAGCAGTGGGAACATGGTGCTTGGTCTGGTGAAGGCGCTATGAGCAAGCAGGACAAGGTGTGGGTCTCACCTCTGCGATCCCGTTGCCCGACACTGTGCTCTCCGAGGGCCAGAGGCAGCCTTCCTGTGGGGAGGAGAGAAGACCGACCCGCAGCTTCAGTGGGGGACCAGAAGGCAGAGGACTGAGATCTGGACTTGAGTCTCATCGCTCTCATCTTGAACTACATCTTGGTCTCTTCTGCTTCTCTGTCTCCCCACTCAGCCGCTGGGGTCCAGGTCCCTAGACACCCACAATCACTTCCTTCCCCTAACCCGGTTCACACTGCTGTCTGTGTCCCTAACAATTCACCCTTCACCCTCACGCTTTCCAAAGACATGTCCGCTTTATGGGTCTTCAAAGTGTGGCGCTGCGGGTTAATGCGCTGGACTGTGGGGTCGTTTTGAACCACAAGGTTGGCGGTTCAAGCTCATCAACTACTCCTCGGAAACCCTATAGAGGGTCGCTATGCGTCAGAATTGACTCGACAACACACAACAACAAAGCTCAGAACACACCCACATCAGCTCCTCATCTGGTTTCCAATGGGGTGAGGGAAGGGATGTGCTGTGACTCGAACCCTCTCCCTCAGCCTAACACTGGCTGCCTCCACTTGCCAGGTGGGTGACTTTGGACAAGCTGCTTCACATCCCTGCTGCAGGACCTGCATCCCCAAACGCAAGTATTTACAGAACTTGTCTCATGGACTTGCAAGCAAATTCAACACCCAAACTTGAAGGCCCCTTGGGACCAAATTCAACACTCCTAAGAGGAGCTCTTGTAGCGTAGTGGTTACGAATCGGGCTGCAAACCTTAAGGTCAGCGGTTCGAAACTACCAGCCGCTCCGCGGGAGAAAGATGAGGCTTTCTACTC